AGGTCCTCAGTGTTCTCAAAGTCAACACTAGTTAATTAGCATGGGCAAAATGCTTTAAGATTTTGCAGCAGGCTAACAGGAATGTTAGGACCGGTAGAAAATATTTCACATCAAAGATGTAAATATGTATTGATGACAAAATAGTTAATTATAGATGTCAATAGAGAAATAAGTACAGAAAGAAGAAGCATGGTGTGGAAAATAAACTGACAAAAGCCAAGATACAATGTTTTAACAGAAGCTCTCAGTATCAAATCAGAGGAAGAACCTCATTCACCTAGAACTCACATATTAATTTATTTTAATAAATACAGAAGAGCTTGTGTCTGCTCAGCCATGTGATAATTTTATATATAATTGTATTGAAAACCAATTTAAGGCCAGTCATGGATGCCTCCCTGTGCCAGAGTCCCAGTCCCACTGACCAAGGGTGCCTGAATGTGAGGCACCAGATTCCACCGCCACAGCGCGCACCAGCTCTTTCACGAGCTTCTCCTCATGCCTAGGCTTGGCGCACTGGTTCCGTAGAGGCATAGTCACCGTCAGTGATGGCGCATGCAATGCCATAGCCTTCCCATGGCTGACATGAGATTCATAGAGGACACTGTCGCCTTCTTTGAGAAGGAGAAACAGGAGGAGGAATCAAAGGAGGAGGGCGTGGAATAGGGCTAAGAAGGAGGTATTGAGTGGCAGTTGTTTCCTGATGTTAATGGAGAATACCAGGCCCCTATTAGCCTAAACTCAAGAGAAGCTGGATAGGATCCCTCACTGATGGATGTCTGCCTCTCCAAATTATGTGGTCTGTCTTGACAATATTTCAGGTCACCAAAGATGGACTTGTCATTCAGGTTATTCTGAAACCAAAGTCAGTTCTTCCGGGAGAACCATTGCCTCAAGGACATGAACTTGAACTGTATGAAGATTTCACTAGGGGTGAGAAAGCCAGGGTGATTCTGAGCACATGGTTAATTTTAAAAATTTTATGATGGAATCCATAGTTGGCCAGCTACAAACAGAAATGGCATTAAAGTGGAGCTAGGGCAGCAGAAAGCTGCTCACATCATGGCTGCCAAGAAGCAGTAAAAGGAGAAGCCGGGGAAGGAAAGACAACCTTTCAAGTCTTGCCCTGAAAGACCACCTTCTAATGTTTCCCATTTCCTAACAGCAAGTCAACTGTAGCATTCTGCCTTAATTCAATCACTTTTTAGAAACCTCACCTTTGAGCACATGAGGTTCTTGGGAAACAGTAGAGATCTAAACCAAACATAAGAGTAAGTTTTTCTCCCCCCACTTTTCTTCATCCCTCCATTTTTATCCTCTGGGTTATCTAATTCATTTTGAGACCTTAATTCTTAATTATATCATCCAAAGATTTTATTTCCATCTAGATTCATATATACAACAATGAGTAGATTTTCTGACTTTTGTGCTTGGTAAGCATGACAGGTTAAAAACAATTCAACCCTTAATAAACATGTATTTTGGAACTTACGGAATGTCAAAAAACATCCAATTTACATTTTCGCCTTTTTCATAGGAGCAAATCCCGGTCTTTCCTATATAAATGAGCTAATATTTTTAGTTTCTTCCATTTCTTCAGTATCTCTATCCATCATTCCAGTCATCACAATAAAATCTTTTGTCTAGGTACTACTGCACAATAATATTCTTCCTTATAACAGGAAGAGAGAGGAAAAGTGTAAGATCACTAAATCTTAAAGATTTAGTCATTGCTATATAAAACAAATAGTGGGCACTTAACACACAATTTTTTTTTTCTCAATAAGGAAACTGAAGCCCAGAGAATATGAACAATTAGTAGAATCAGAATATAAATCTATAATCTGATGTTGGTAACCACACATGTCATTGGTATATTATATATGTCCTTTCTACTAAAACTTCAAAAATTAGGAAAAATAGAAAACAAGAAACTTAAGTAAAAATAAATTTATTATGATAATGTTAAGAACAGAACCAAACTGGAGAACTGCCCTGGAAATGAGCAAGATTGATGTTATAGATTGATTGTCCTGACTAGAACATTAAAATATCTTCTGGATTACAGACCCTTTCAGTCTTTTCATTTCTATGACTAAGCTCCAAAGTGTAACCACAGAACATTAGATTATCTAAATTTAGGTCACGTGCCTGTCTCCTAGAGAGGAGATTCATTGGTTTAACTAGACTTAATGTTAACATCAAAAAGATAGGACTTCAAAAAGAAAATTAGAGCATCATTAGGAAGGAGAAAATTGATGTTTCAGTTACCAAAAAAGAAATACATTTACTCTAGAATCTATGCTTATGATTGCCCAGTACGTGCTCGCCTACTCATAGGCTTTCTTTCAAAAATGTCCCTGCCTAAAATGCTGCAGTTATTTCATAAACAACCTCAAATAAATTTTGTCACTTCCCAACATCTTATTAGGTGCTCCACTGAGTTCCAGTTTTTGGATCTTTGAATAATATTCATGTGCTTTCTGTATCTATTGTAGTTGTGTTTCTATATTCTTCATGTTATAGAATAAATGTAGGGTGCATAGAAAGAATTTTTACTAGATTAGTTAAGTATAAGGCATATTAATTAAAATATATAAATATATAGCCATGACAAATAAGAAAGGATGTATTTCTAAGGACAAAAATTTTCAGTTCTTTAGTTGATCTTGAGTTCATATTTAGAATTTATGGTTTTCTTCTTCCATTCTCAATTTAGCTGCTCCTCTTTTTTTTACCAGCATCTCCAGTTAGCTTTCGTTGCTTAAGGATGTGCTCAAAGTAATTCTTGGTTGGTCTGATTCTTGTAACTATCCTATCTGAGAAAAATCGCCAAATCCTTAGTGTAGGCAATTACTTAAAAATATTTCTCTAATATACTGATTTTATGCTACTTAGTCATAAAGTATTTGGCCAAATTCTCATAGACAGAAGGTAACAGTGTCTAGAATTGAACTTAGGCATCTCTGACTCTGAAATGCATACTTCTTTTATGAGTCGGACTACATGAAAAAATAGGAAGGAACTGAGGCTGGAGGCAGGAAGTGGAACAATACCAGAGGAACTGTTCCTGTAGAAGGCCCACAATCAGTGAAGGGAAGGCCCCTTTTCTAGGCAGTCTCTGGATAGGAAGCAGATAAGACAGTTACTACAACAAAATGGAGGAGGGGTGATGCAGACTGAGACAAGCCCTTGCAAAACCCTACCTTGCAAAGTTAATCATTTGCAGGAACATAAAACAAATAAGTGGTATGGGTAGGAAAAATCAACTTAGATATTGTGGGGGTGGTTCATCTCAGATTCTGGGAAGTGGAAAGGGAGAGAGGAACAGGGAGAGAGTGGAAAAGAGAGAGGGAGAGAGAGAGAGAGACAGAGAGAGAGAGAGAGAGAGAGAGAGAGAGAGAGAGAGAGAGAGAGAGAGAGAGAGAGAGACTATGATTCTCCAGCCTGCAGCAGAAAGGAACCGTTATATTTGAACTTCGGTTCTTGCTTTTCCCGTTATTGTTCTCCACAGTACTTATCACCATTTAACACCCAATATATTCTATTTAGTTTGCTGCTTTTCTTTCCATATTTAGAATTTAAATTCCATGAAGAATTTTGTTTTATTTTCGTAGAACAGGACCTAGAATGTGATGGGCCCTTCACTGATGTTGTTGAATGAAAGAATAAATGTACAAGAGAATGCTTGATGCCCTCCCTCCTGAGGGAGACATTGTGGCTCTGTTATTCAGTTCTAGTTTTCCAAATGGCTTCTTGGAAACTCATGGCTTCTCAATAGCTAGTGAAACTTTCTGACTACTTTTGTATTTTCTTTCGATTTACTTTGACTGTAGCTTCTTGCTGTAACATTAAATAATTTCAGACAGAGGACAGCGCTGATGTGATTGTCCATTTTCATTAATATTTCCTACAATGCAACATATGGTTCTAGTCAAGATTAGGGACCCCAGAGTGAGACCACTGAGATTTAGTTCTGGTTCACCCCTATATATCCATAACTTTGGGAAAGTTCCTTAACCACCTGAGCCTGTTTACTCATCTAGATATTTTGGATAATACTGGTACATTTATAGAACATGGTAATATCATTTTATAAAATAAAGCTCGCTGTTCCATGGTTTAAGAAATTAAAAGATTGATTTGCTTTCATAAGTATAAAGCAGTTGTTCATGTTAGGTGAGTGGTTTCTTCCACATGGTGACTGAGAGATCCAGGCTCCTTTATGTGCTGAGTTTTCCCTGTAATGGATTCCAGACAGCCCTTCCTTCAACAGGCAAAATGAGAAAAGAGATGATATAAAGGGAATGTTTTATTCTTAATGTCCTTTACTCAGTTGTAGCATAGAACACTGTCAATCATCACAATACATTGATTAGAACATTAATACATTGGTTAGGATACATCACAGATATCTGGAGGACATGGCACAGAGCTTTAGGGGAAATGTAGTTATTTTATTTTGCTCCTCTTTTCACCAAATATTTAAGGCAGATTCTTTCTCACACACAAATACACTCCCTCTCCAAAGAAGATAGCTCAATACTCTGTCTAGTTGTTACATTTAGTTCAAAATTCATTTGGCTCTTATTGAATTGAAAGATAATTCTCAAATATTCAATATACAATGATCAGATAGGGACAGAAAAAAACAGTAAAACTCCTATTAATAAATGGAATAATTGAATATATACAACGATTGCCAGCTTTTTATCAGTAATAAGATCTTACTAGTCAGTTACTGTGAGGACTTCTTGCCTCACTAGTGGGAGAAGTTCTGAATTAAGTGCTGATTTTTCTCTCAGTGAGTATTATGGTTTATACATTGTGTCCTTGAGAGGTTTAGAAGTTTAAGAGATTCAACAGGAAGCCAGGATACTTACTTTGTAAATATCCTTAGCCTGTTCAAGTGGAGGGCACAGACGTAGTGAGAGTGCTATACACGCCCTGGGTGGGGGGTAGCGTGCTTAAATATAAGGCCAGAGAATAGGCTTGTTTTCCTCTCACTTTTGTTCTGGCTGCTGCCTTGAACTGTTGCCCCTGTGCCATGTGACCCTGCCTTGGAGCCAGCTGATTATGGACTGACACCTACACTGTGAGTTAAATAAATCTTTCCTTCATTTTGGGTGTTGGGTATTTTGTCTCAGCAATGAGAAAAGTAACCAAGACAGTGGGAAACTTCCTTTTTAAGCCTTATCTCAAGTGATTTTGGGGAACTTTACCTTCCTTGTGAATACATAATACATAATTTTCCACAGCGCTCTTCCTCTGGTGTAGTTATGGAGGCTATACAATTGCTCTGCTCTATAGTTGTGGGCTTTTTAAGATTTAGGTTTTTTCCCCCTCTAACAGTACAATTGTCTCAAAACTTGGTAAAATTTCCATGTATTTATATGTAATCAGTCCCCTGTGCCAAAAAAACAAAACAAAACAAAACAAAACCACAAAAAAAAAAAAACTAACCTTTTTTTTTTTTTTTTTTTTTTTTTTGCTCTACCTAATTATTATTTGCATTATTTCTTTGCTTCCCTACACTCTTGGCCTGTGTAACAGAGGCCATCTGAACCAAAGCTATTGCGTTAAAAAGAAATAACTTTAATATGATCCTTGCTAAATGACTGGACCTATTTTATTAACAGACAAGCCTTAATAGTCCTTTTATTAAATCTGATTTTATTCTATTTGTATATATGTTTGAATATATAGTTTGTATATATAGTTTGGGGCAAAGGTCTAACTTCATTCTTTTACATGTGACTATCCAAATGTCCAGCATCATATATTAAGTAGATTATTACTTCTTATTTTATAGTGTTGGGACTCCTATCAGAAATAAATTCGCTAGAGATGTATGCGTTTATTTCTAGGCTCTCAAATGCATTGATTTACATGTTTAAAAATGCCAACACTATTGTTTTTATTGTTATAGATTCTCATATGTCTAGAAATTGACACCTTTTTACCTTATTTAGTTGTTTAACTATTCAAATCTCTTACATTTTCAGATTAACATTTTCATTTCTGAAAGGACAGTTGTAATTTTGATAGCTATTGGATTGAACATATATCTCATTCTGAGAGTAGTATTATCTTAATATTATCTTCTAATGCAAGAATGTATGATCATTTTAGTTTAAAATAGAACCTCTTTAATTTCTGTCAAAATTCTGTTCGTTTTACATTTCTGAAAGCTTATGTAAGTTTTACATTTCTTTGGTTAAATTTATTCCTAAGCACTTCTATTATTATCATAACATTGTATATTGAATTGTTTTCTTAATTTACATTACAATTATTCATTACTTGTAGAGAAATACATCACATTCTTTTGTGTTAGTTTTAGTCCTACAACAGTTTTGATTTTATTAGCTCTAATAGACATTTTTGCACAGTCTTAAGTGTTTCAAAGTGGAAAATATTGCCATTTGTAAACAAAGATTTTTTTATTTCTTCCTTTCCAAATTTAAGCCATTTTTAAAATCAAATTGCTTTGATTAAAACTTCCAGTAAGATACTGAATAGTGGTATAAAAATGGAATAAATCTTAACAGTTTTTCATCATTGATACTGTGTTAGCTTTGAGTATTTATTGAATGTCTTTTATCAACGTGGGAATTCCCTTTTATTTCTAGCTTGTTCATTCATTTTAACATGAAACAGTGATGCATTTTGTCAAATGCATTCTCCTGATCTAAGAGATAATAATATGCTTTTATTCTTTATGCTATCAGTATCATACTTCAGTTGTATATTTCCCTCTGAGTACTGTTTTTAAACATACCATAAGTTTTAATGTTATGTTTTCATTTTCACTCATCTCATATTTGCTAGTGTCTCTTGTGATTTTGCTTGTGATCCATTTGTTGTTTAATATCGTTATACTTTAATGCCACATTTCCTTCTGTCAATACTCTCCAATGAGACAAAATAGTTCATAAGATTAAGATTCATGTGATTTTAGTAGTTTTAAATTTGCTAAGTATTTTCTTGTAGTTTAACTCATGGTCAATCCTAAAATAAGTTGTATGGATGCTTAGTAAGATGTGCTCTGGTTATGCAGTTTGTGTTTCAGCACATATGCCTATTAGGTGTAGTTGCTTTACTTATTTATTTACTATTATTATAATTATTGTTATTATTACTTTTTTCGTTTGTTAAGACAGAGTCTTTTTATGCATTTGAACTTGTACTAGTCCTGAACTTTACTATGTAGCCCAGGCTGACCTTAAATCCTTGAAGCTCTTCCTGTTTAGTTTGCTAATTGCTACGATTGCTGGCATACACCATCACACTCAGTTTGGTGCAATTGTTCTATAAAATTAGTTAAGCTTTCTATTTCTCTGTTGACATTCTATCTGGCTGTACTTTGCAGTATCAAAGGTAGAGTGCCAAACTTTCTAACATTGCTATTGAGCTGTTAATAGATACCTTCAGTTCTGTCTTTGACTCAGTATTTTGAGTGCTGTGATTAACTGTGTACATACTTAACAACTGAAACATCTTCTTGACAAATTGACAATTTATTCATATGTAATGTCCTTTTTCTCTTATAAGACTTACCTTAATGTGCATTTTTTCTGTTAATAATATAACTATATCATCTCTATTTTTATTATGATTTGTATGAAATATCTTTTCTAAACTTTACTTGAAAATTATTTGTGTCCATCCTGTTCATGTCTGCCCTCTAATTGGAGATTTTAATCCATTTATATATATATCATAATTGCTTATTAAAAAGAACTTTTAGCTGTTGTTTTACTGTTTGATTTTAAAATGTTTCTTAACTATTTAATTTTTTAGTTCCTTAATTAGTCTTCTTTTGTGTTGAGCAAATATTTTTAGTGTATAATTTCGATTTCCTGGCAAATTATTTTGACATAAACTGTACTTATTTTTCTTAGTATTTGTTTATTATTATAATTAGTATCTTAGTTTATAATTATTCAGGTTGAATAAATGATGACTTATTTAAAATAGTACAAAAATTGTTCATTTATATCTCTGCCCAAACTATGAATTTAAGTCCGTGTCAAAAATTATCTTTATTTTATACACTGTATGTTCATTACATAAATTTATAATTATTGTTTTAAACACTTGCCTTTAAATAATATAGAAAACCAGGTGCTGAAAAAGAAAAATATGCTACCAGTGCTGTTTTTCTTAATTTTCTTATCTAGTTATATATTTTTGAAATTGTTCTAAATTTCTTCATGTGGATTTCAATTACTGTCTGAAACCCTTTCCTTTCAGTCAGAAATGATTCATTATTATTTCAAAGGCAAGTATACTAACAACAAATTCCCTCAGCTTTCTTACTCTTCTAGCAATCTCTTAATTTTTTTTTTTTTTTTTTTTTTTTTTTTTTTTTTTTTTTTTTTTGCACCAGGAATCAAACTCATGACCTTGTGCTTACCAGGCAGGTACTTGTGCCACTTATAGCTAAGTGCCCTACTCTATTCTCCTTAATTTTTATGAATGTTTTTCTTGATTTAGAATTCTTCATTGACAATTTTTTCTCCCATCACATTGTTATGTCATCATATTTTCTCCTGGCCACGATGGTCTGTGATGTAAAGCTAGTTATTAGTCTTACTGGAAAACCCTTATAATTGATGAGTTTCTTATCCTTTGTTGCTATCGGAATTATCTTTGTCCTGTCCTCTAACAGACTGACTATAATTTTTTCGCATGTATCTTTTAGTATTTCCTACTTGACATAAGCTGATATTCATAGGTTAATATTGATATCTTTAAAAATAAGGCAAGTTTTTAGGCATTTATTGTTCAAATATGTTAGCTTTTTGTTTTTCTCCGCCTTCTGTATGTTGCCAAACTTAATCATGTACTATAGTTGTTTTAGCTTTCTTCTTTGTTTCTGATTCTCAGTTAACTTATTATCAAATTTGTCAGTTTTCTTTTTTATCTATTCAAATTGGCTGACAAGTCATTGAGTAAAGTTTTCATTCAAGTTAATGTATGTTTTTCAATTCTAGAATTTCATTGCTTTTTATAATTTCTATCTCTTTATTGATTTTTTTTAGTTGGGAGGACATCATTTTCAGTATTTTCTTTAATTTCTGTCATGTGCTTTACCTATTTGAGGTTTAAAATAGCTAGTTTAAAGACCTTTTTTAGTTATCAGCCTTTGGGAGGGTGAGGCAGGAAGATTGCTATAAGTTTGATGCTAACCTAGACTACAGATTAGTTAAAGGCTGGCCTGCACTACATAGTTAGACCCTGCATCAAAAAAGAAAAACAGAACTTCTTTAGTAATTTCAGTGTCTGATGGATCCTATTAATTCATTTGTCCCTTCACTGCATATTGAGTATACCTCCTTATTTCCCCATAAGCTATGGAACCCTTTGTTGAAGGTGGGATATTTTGAGTACGGTAATGTGGGAATTCTAAAAATTAGATGTTTTCCTGTTGCTGTTTTCTTTTTCTGGCTCCTTACAGTTGTTAGTGTTTGTGTAGTTACTCTTTTGGACAAAACTGCTAAACTTCCTTTTCATATATGCCAAATGAAGTCTTTGTTACTTTAATTTTGTGATCAGTTAGAAAATGGACAGATTGCCCTATATCCCAAGAACTTATCCTCTTCTCCAAAAAGTCATTTTAAATAGCCTCAGGCTGCGTATTATGTTGTGACTCCAGTTCTTATCTTTGCTATTATAATTATGTTTTATTTTTCACTTCCTATTTGCACAGAGCAGTACAGCCAGCCAAAGCTGTGGTATAGGTCATCAGGTATTTCCTAAGAATATACTTGCTTGTATATGACCATCTAGATTTCTAGAAATACAGTAGGTATTTTGAATGCCTATATTCTCCCAAAATATCTCATTTTCAAGGCTTCCAAATCTTACTCATTTCCTCAAGGCATACAGACTGAGGCATTAACCTTTAAGTATTTTTAACAGAATTTTTTTAAACAGCCACTGTAGAATTGAAAATTTTATATAAAATAAAAACAAACTTTCCAGAATACCCCTTAGAGAGCCATTAAGTATACAAAACAACTACAATCTTTTGAGGAAAAAGTTCATCTTGTTCCCTCTAATATCAGGATTCTCCCTAGAACATGACTT